GTAGTATAAGATTATAACATATTTTTACAACTACTATTTATAACTACTATTTACTTGGAAATTTGCTGATGAATAAAATCGTAAACAAACCAATAATTGCATAATTGACAAACCACGATTATTTTCTTTTGCAAGTCATTCATCTATAAGTGGCAAAATGCCAAACATTACAGAATCTTTCATAAAACGGAACCTTCTTTTAAATTCCGAATCGTTGTAAAAGTAAAATAGATTTTGTGCATCACGGATATATCGTTTAGGAACTCGTATTTATACTTTATTCTTCTGTTGTTCTTCTTCACTTAAAAAATTAATATCTTGAATTTCAAGATTTATAGGATCTTCTAAATCCATCACAATTCTTAACGAAATAAAATTTTCACTAATTTTCACTGTAGCACATTACACCTTTTGCTTAAGTCTTCTTCGAGCACGTCTTAGCGAAGACCGTCTTATTTATCGATATATATGTCAAATGAGATACTCTTAAATGATTATGAATACATAAGTAATAAGATAACCTTAAGACTATGCTCATGACTAATAAGAAACATTTATGAAATACATTAAGGCATTCTAAAATAAGATCCGTCTTGAACAAGATACGCCTTCAGATTTTGTTCAAGTCTTTGCTTATTCTTCGACTATGAATGTAGAGAGAGCGCCTTAAGACGAAACTTAAGGTAATCTTCGAAATAAGATTGGGACTATGAATACTGGCTTTAAATGCGAGCATGACGCGCGCGACGAATCCTGCGTCCCTGGCAGCGATTATGTGTACTCGGTGAGAAACTCAAGAAAGTCAGACTCGCGCAGAATTGTAACGCGCGACAATAACGAATTCTGTCGGAGGATGGACGGTAGCGGGTGCGATATCGTAGAAGGAAAGCGTCCACCCGCGGTGGAGCTCCAGTGTAATCCGGCAAAAAGGATCTTCGCAAACCGTTGTCACAATCGTCTGTAACATAGAGAAGGTGGAGGTCCAAAATACCTCTTACGAGGCAAGCCAACGTGTCGTAGACACCCTAAAGGCAGTGACCCAACGTGCGAATGCACTCAAGAAAAAGGCATAGAGCCGTCGCCCGCGTCGTCTTATATAGGCGTCGAACCGAAAATTAACCGCGAGCGACGGCCCGGCTCGGATCGCTGCCGCGTAGCGGCGACGGCGTGAAGTAGCGGCGAGCGGTATTCGCGCGCGAGCGGATCGCGTCTAGCGCACGGCCGCCCGCCGTGCTCTGTCCGTGCGGGTGACAGCATCGATACGAGACAAATATAATGAATATAAAGTATAATATGGAAGAAGTATACAATGTCATAAATGTAAAGAATGTTAAGTAAATAGAAAGTACCGTGCATATAAAAAGTGTATAAGATAAGAATATCTCTCAAGAAAAATGAATGTGTCATTGTGCATCTCCTGGCAACAACAATTGCACACACAGGTGATGTTCATGTCAAGCGTTAATATATAAATATTAATACTTTAATACTAGAGCTGAATACGGAAAATTTATTATCCGGATTATCTGATATAATTATTATCCGACAACTCAAATCTGGATATTTGAATTATCCAG